TAGATAGTTATAGTTTTTAAAGATTAATTTAAAGAAAAAGAAAAAAAAAGTTTTTTTGCCATTTTTTTCATAAAAAACAAGTAGTAATGCACATGATCCTGACCATCCACGAAACATTATTGATGATTTGCGACAACCGCACTTGGCACAGGACCTGAGAACAGTTTCAGGTTCACCATTTATTGAGCACATTAAGAGTAGTGATGGTTTTGGTTACTCCTTACTCCAAGTATCATAAATGACTTTTTTATTTTCTTTTCTTTGTATATAAATCATTTTTTTAAATTCATTATTTGTTTTTTTAACTCTATGTTACAGTATTATTCTTAAAATATGGGATATATAAATTATTACTGATTTTATTGTTAAGCGATGTGAAACTAGTCTATCAGAATATAACATCCGCGTTTGAGAACTAAGAAATAAAAGAAACCGAGATTCTAATATTGACTTCACGGTAACCACAAAAAGTATTGATTTAATTTTAATAAATTTCATGTCTAAAAAAGTATTGATTTTATTTTATAAATTGATTTTATAAGTAATTAGATTGTCTAAAAAAGTTTAAACTAATTCACATACGTCTTTATAACCCATGTGAGTTGAAAAAGATGAGGATTAAGATCATGATTAACAAGTTAAATGAGGTTGGAGAAGGAGGAATAAGACCTGGACATATATGATGTACGGTTGAAGTGATTAATTACAGTAAAAAAGAAGTAAATAAAAAGATGAGAAGCATTGTGTTCGCTGTAATGATGCAGGGCAAGGAGAAGAAGAAAATGACTGGAGCAACAATCCAAAGTCCCTGTGTTGTGTGTTAATTTGTGAAGCGTGAGAGGCACAGCATGGACATATTCATGAAAGGGAACGCCACACTACACGCCACTACAACCCATTTGTGCTTTTCTGCTTTAAAAGATGCCCAAGTTTTCTGCCAACTACCACCATGCCACATTGCATTGCTATGTCACCCTATCATGCTTTCTTGAGCTTCCATATCATCACACTTTTACCAACAAAACCTAATTATTTGATGTGATTACTGATCTTAAGAACCCATTCCTCAGCTTCTGCAAAAACAAACATTGTTTTGTTTTGGTATAGAACGAGATATCAGGTGTTTATTTTACCAACATATTTATAGTTACATAAACCTGCACCAAGTGTTGTGTGTGAGGTAATGTTTTGCTGAAACACTTCATGAAAAATGAAAGAAACATATGAATAAATGAATGAATGGGTTGTTCGTGAATGTAAAATAATTGCGCAAATATATGATGTTTTTGTTTGTCTAAAAATAACTACAGAACAAAGTGAATGTCCATTGCTGGTCTTTTTGTTTTTGCTTTTCCATAATTGCCAGCAATCTTATTACGACACATCGTCGTATCCATGTGTGAGAGAAGATGTGTGAAATGGAATTATTGAAACCCTATGTGACTCCTCTTAAAGGGACATGCATCGTTTTCTTTCAAGTTTTGCACGTCAAAATTTCATTCGCTTCAGTAATACAGTACATTAGATTCCAGAGAGATAACATAAGATAAATATAATATTACCATAAGATAAAGCCATGATTGTCTCAAATATTAGTTTGTTTTTTTCCAAATGTTGAAAAATTATGTATAAAAAACAATTCACCAAATGATCACTAATAATAATTATAATCAAGCTATTATCCAAACTTTTTTTTTCTAATTTATTTGGCTGAAAATATATAGAGTCTTTATCTGCACGGCGTAACATATCATGAGTGATAAGAAATATGTTCACTGTTTTCAAGAGGAAGAGTTTTGTTTGTCTATGACATGAGAGCACAACCTCTGAATTTGGGTGTTTATAATGATTATGTAAAAGGGTCCCATTCAAGATTCCAGATGAAAATGTCATCCCTGTAGAATATACCAGAATTTTTCAAGACAGTGATTATATAAGGAGACCATGGCAACTCCTTCATTATGTGACTACTTTTTATTAAAAATATGGTTTATTTAAATTATTAAAAAAAAAAGTGGGTTTTTTAACAATTTTTTTTTTCAAGAAAGGGATCAAAGGAGTGGAAATCAAATGGTAAAGTTCTTTTATTGGTAAATTGGAGGATTAGAAATAAGACTATTACTTTCCAATTTGTTATTATTTCATTTATTTTATTGATTAGTGTACATGTTCTATTGGTTTCTCCTCAAGGTTGGTCAAATAAAAAAATGTTCTATTTTCAAGACAGTGATTATATAAGGAAACCATGACTACTCTTGATTATGTGACTACTTTTTATCTTAATTAAAAATATGGTTTATTTAAATTATTAAAAAAAAAGTAGGTTTCTTAAAACATGTAAAATTATTTAAATTTTGAGCTTTTGTTTTTATACTATTACCATGAAAAATGTTTTATTATTTTTCATCTTTTGTCAAAAGATTAAAAATATTCTAATCTCTTATAGATTAAATAATTTACTAAATATATATATATATATATATATATAATTTAATTTAGAAAGAATATTATTATTTCATGTGTTATAATATTATTAGAATTAATTTTTATATTTAAACATGATATACAAAAACTTGAAAATAAACAATATATAAATTAATTGATGATGTTATAACATAAGACACACTACTGAGCATAATCCTCCAACCCAAATCAAATATATATAATAGTTTTTTTAAAATTAAATAAAATTTATTTTTTATCATTTTTTTCACTTAATTTTTATTTATAATAGATTTCATGTTTATTTTTTATATAATTTTTACTCACATTTTTTTTTCTTTTATTTTAAGATTTTTATCTTTCTTCTCTTATTATTTTTATTCATTCTATTCATTCATTCATTCTCGTACTGTTTTCTTTCACGTTTTTACCTTACAACATAAAAAAAAACATAAGACAAAAAGTTAGAAAAATAAAGAAGATACATCGTAATAATATTTTTTGTTCGAAGTAAAAAACAATAAACAAATTTTTTAATTATTTTTATTTATTATTATAACAAATTATAGTATAATATAAAAATATGAAATAGTGATATATTTTTTATTTGTTATAAATTAGCTAATTATTTTAATATTTTATAATATTCTATTTTGATGTTAAATGTGAATAAAAAAATTATTTTGAGTCTTAAAAATATATAAAAATAAATTTATTTTTTAAAAGAAAAAAATAGATGGAATAAATTTTACATCCTAAAATTTTAATTTAATAAGTAATATTAATATATAATAGGTTTATTTTTATATGTTGGTCTCTCCATCTAAATTTATAGTTCCGTCCATGATTAGGACATTTTTATTCATAGATAGACTAATATATATATATATATATATATATATATATATATATATTATTTTTTATATTAACTATTAATAATGTAAATTTTGTAAATATATATAATTTTTTTTTCAATGATTAGTAATCCTTTTGAAAAATTAAAATAGAAAGGATTTTTCGATCTTTAGTAATCAAAAAAGAAAAAAAGAACTCACACTCTTTCTTTTATTACTTAGGAATCGTGTGAGATGAAAATCTCATGCACGATTTTGAATGAGAGAAAAAGTGAGGAATCCTTTTTTGAACTCTGACTCTCTCACTCTAGTCCTTGTTTTTCTTTCTGTTACTTTGAAAGTAGCTGTTTCAGCTTCAACCACTTGAATTTTTGATATCTCTTTTTATTTTTCATCAAATAAATGACATCTTTTTTTGGAAATCCTAGCTATTTTTAGCATGATATTGGAGAATTTTATTGTTATTACCCAAACAAGCATGAAACATATGTTAGCGTATTCATCCATAGGTCAAATCGGATATGTAATTATTGGAATAATTGTTGGAGACTTAAATGGTGGATATGCAAGCATAATAACTTATATGTTGTTCTATATCTCGATAAATCTAGAAACTTTTGCTTGCATTATATCATTTGGTCTACGTACTGTAATTGATAACATTTGAGATTATGCAGAATTATACACCAAAGATTCTTATTTGACTCTCTCTTTAGCCCTATGTGTCTTATTCTTAAAAGGTCTTTCATCACTAGCAGGTTTTTTTTTTTTTAACTTACATTTAGTCTGGTGTGATGGCAGATAGGCTTATATTTTTTCATTTCAATAAAATTTCTTACAAGTGTTGTTTCTATCTACTATTATCTAAAAATAATTAAGTTATTAATGATTGGACGAAATTTCTTACAAACGTTGTTTCTATCTAGTATTATCTAACAATAATTAAGTTATTAACGACTGGACGAAATAAAAAATTAATTCCTCACGTGGAAAATTATAGAAGGTCCTCTTTAAGATCAAACAATTCTATCAAATTAAGTATGATTGAATGTCTATTATACCAGGAATATCAATGAACCATATTATTAAATTGCTCAACATATCTTTTTTAGCTTGTAGTATTTATTTCTTAGTTCAACTCTTACCTTACTAACTGGAATCAAAGAATTAGTAGATATGATCCACCAAAAATGAGAATGGGCTAGGGTTATGAATTTAGAATTGAAAATCTAATGATCGAGTCAATTCCATGATTCTATGTTCATTATATTCCGTACTCAATCAAAATGAGGTTATATACATTCTCATTATGAGAAATGATCATTTGAGCGTATATAAGTAGATATTATGTTTACATGTAGATTTTTGCATCTATTCAATTTAGAATTAGGAACATGTGTAATCAAATCTGGTGTTCACATATCTCTCATTATTTAGGACCCTATTAAATTTATCTCGTTGGGACTTCGTTGAATCAATAAATAAGTTTAATTAGTCCATTTTTTTATAGAATATCTATATCTATTTATCTATATAGATAACATATCCTGTGAATAATTCAAATCGAACTAATTGGATGTTTGACTCGGGCCTATATGACATGACCAATCAATACAAATATTGTAACACTCTACCTTTGTCATATATTTCATATATCACACTAAATAGATATTATATTCATGAAATACGATTCGTTTTCAAGATGTCTTGGTAGTGAAATGGTAAACACACAAGACTCAAACTCTCATGCTAAAGAGCGTGGAGGTTCGAGTCCTCTTCAAGGCATAATATTGGGATCTTTTATTAAATTGGAATAAGTTCAACAACAAATCATGAAATCTTGGTAATCTTCTTTATCTAATAAATGGGTAATCTGTTTTGAAATTGTCCGTCACGGTTATACCTTACCTTCTCCAAGAAGTATATGTTTCAACAAGAATCACACAGGGGTAGATTGTTAGAGTAAAAATCTCTCGTAAAATACTGACCATAACCCAACGAGCAGATAAAATTAGGGATGGCAAAACGGGCCAGCCCGCCCCGTTTTGGCCCGCCCCGCCTTTGGCCCGCCAAAAGCGGGGCGGGGCGGGGCGGGGCGGGCTGGCCCGATATAGTCATGACGGCTGTAGACCTTGGCCCGCCTCGCCAAGGGGCGGGTTGGCCCGCCATAATTTAGAAAAAATAAATTTTTTTAAAATAAATTTTTTTAATAAATTTAATAATAAGATTATTTGTTTGTCAATAATTCAATATATATATATATTATTTCAATTTAATAATATAAATCAATACATTATTTTAAGAAATTATAATTTAGAACAATAATAAAATTTACATAATAATAAATAATAACAAATATATATATATATATATATATATATATATATATATATAAATAACGTTAAACTTATAAAATTTATATTTTTTATATTGAAAAATTCAAATACCTATATCTTTTTTATTTCATAAAACTTCATATTATTCTTGGTTGAGTAATTCTTACACCTTTAATTCAAGTAATAAGGATAAAAATAATCAGTGCTTAGGATAAACAAGGAGAACAGAAGAGAATGTTATGTTTTAGGAAGGAGAATATTTTCCGTGAGAATGAAACTTTTTTAATTCTCTTTTTAAAATTTTTAACTTTATATATTATCTTTATAATTAATTTTATTACAATAAAAAATTATTTTTTTATTAATTAGGCGGTCGCGGGCTCGGCCCGCCCGTCCCGCGAGTTGGCCGACGGGTTGGCGGGCTTGGCGGGCGAGCCAAAGCGGGCTGGTGGGCTGAAAACACCAACCCGCCCCGCCATATTATGGCGGGCTGGCGACGGCCCGCCGGACCTAGCCCGTTTTGCCATCCCTAGATAAAATACATTAAATAGTTCATTTTAAGAATTCAAAATATAGATGTCTGTTGGAATTCCAATATTCTTTGTCTTTTAAAGTACTATTCCAAAATAAAATAAATTCTATATTTCATAATTGTGAATATTTAAATGAGTAGTGATATTTTGACAACTAGAAACCATACAATCCTTCAAACAACTCACTTTTATTAATATAATAATCTATAGAATGATTTAATAAAAATAAAAATAAAGTAAAACTATTATTATAATATTAAAAGAGAGTTGTTTACAAGAGTTATATGAATTTGGGTTGTCAAAAGTATCATTTTCCTATTTGAATAAAACAAATCGATCTTTAGATCTTTTACTTTGAAACAAAGTCATTTAAATTAGACTAACAGAAAAAAAAATAATAACAATTATTTCTTTTAAGAAAAATCATTTTTTTTCTCAATAATATTTTTATCATTTGATCCAATAACACTTCATTAAACGAGAGAGTAGATTTGATAAATATTGATAATTAAAAAAAAAATCTTTTAAACGATCAACTATTGATTCAAAATTGAAAATAGAAAGTGTTGGTTGTTTGTTTTATCTTAACCTCCTCGAGTAAGGTTCTCTCGTTACGCGTGCATCCTAAAATGTAGTACTGACACGTACATAAACCCATCACCTGAGATTAATACAGTTTCTACAATCTAATTATACGAAACAGGACCTTATATTCAATTCAATACAATTTCACTCTAATATTGTTTGACAGAAAGAAAGTAGAATAAGATGATGTGCATCTTGGAATAATCATGCATATGACGTTTTTCTTTCCAAAAACAACACACTATCTTGTGGAAAGAAAATAACTCAACGTCCCCAGGATAAAATAGTACGGATGCTCAAATCTCTTTTTAATAATTTCAGTTTAAAAAATATTTAAAAATTAAATGATTAAATAAAAAGCATTAATAATTAAAAGAATATTTATCATTTCATTTTATATATTTATGTTTTTTTTATTTAGATTATAAAACTATTTTTTAAAATTATTTTTATTTAATTTATACTGCAACTTATTTAATTTTAATTCATTTTATTTATATTAATATCTTATAATGTGACTTTTTTTTACACTTTAAGTAACAAATTTTACTTAATATTTTGAACAAAATAAATTTTAAATACTTTTATTTAAAATTAAAAATAATATCTCTTAATATTCAAACATACATTAATCGAAAATCATTCATGGGAGGAGAAAGTGTGATAAAATTTTGCATTTTGTAAAGATAAATAAATACGTGAATATAATTTCTATTTTTAATCGATTTTATATTATTGAATTAAGAATTTTATATTTTTAAGATGATATTAGAATTTATTCTCGAGAATCCTCTCAAAACGAGAAGCTTCAAATAAAAATGTGTAATGAAAAATTCTTTTTAAGGTGTGATTAAATTTTTCATTTCATAAGAATATAATAATTTTATAATATACAGTGAGTATAAAAATAAATATAATTTCCACCTTACTTAATTAATTTTATAAAATTAAGTTAATTTTCATAAAAATTTAAAATAATATAATAAATTTTTTTAAACACATACCTACAAATAATGAAACAAAACTAATTCATAAAACAAAAACAGTTTAATTTATTTTGTGATTTCTAATTGTTTTCTCCCTCTAAAAAAATTGTTTACACCAATCCCACCTAGCTCAATTTGCCAACACGTGTCACTTTCAAATTATAAGATGTGGGGCTAATTTATCACGGGATCGATGAAACCGATCTTAGAACCCTACTTATTCTAAGTTTTCTAAACAAATTACCACAATTCCAAATGTCTAAGAAAATAGTTCATCGTTTGTTCAATGCATATACTGCAATAAAAAATTATTTATAAACATTTTTTCTTCTATAATAACATTTCAAAATTAAGAAATTATTTATAAAAATCGATAAAAATAGTTCTGATTAAATTAATATAACTTTACTATTTTTTTACCAATAGTTTTTAACTAATGTTTTTATTTCATAATCAAAAGATTCAATGATTAAAGTGTTAACGTCGTTATCTCTATTGTCAGGTTTATTGTTTAGTGAGATGTAACAAGTTGATGATATAACAATTATTGACAGAGCTATAACTTGTCATGTTATAAAAAAATCTAACGAAAATTAACAGTTTAGTTTACATAAGGAAGTAAAAAAAATCTGAAGAAGGTATGGAGGTACTTGGCGTCTGAGAGCCAAACCAATTTCAGTGTTATTCTGGTCGAAACAAAAGAGAATTAAAATCCTTAAACATCATTTTGATTGTTACTATAGTTTTCGAGGTTTTGGTCCAGAACTGAATATATCAAAAAAGCCAAAAAGGGTATCACTTTCTGAACCATTATGATGTGTCTGCGTGAAGTTACAGAGACCACAAGGTTAATGGCCTTAGAGTATGACACGCAATGGAGTGAAGGTGTTATTTGCTATCATGAACCTTTATGTGGAAAGGGACTTGTGGCAAAATAGTGGCACGTGTCTCCAAGTTGTTGGTGGGTGCATTAGATGATGATCGATGATGAAGATGATGAATAGAAAGAGTACTATATGGTTTTACTTCTGGTTGCAGATTTTTGTCAACAGTGCCACCTTAGTTTAATTCCAGTTTTCATCATTGGAATTTGAAGTATCCTACAAGGAAACATTGATGCTGGGTTATGGGCCCAGGAGGCCCATGAACCCTCCGTTCTCGTCTACAAAAATACGTGGTTGTGGGCCCAACAAAAACAAAATTGAAGAGATTGAGAGATCGGCTCAGCCAATAAATTAATAAATGTATAAATAAATAAAACAAAGTATATATGCGTTTTGTACTCAAGTGGAAGAAGTTTTCTTTGTCTCTAATAATAGATAGAGATGTGCATTTCTTTTATTATTAAAATATATAAGAAAAACAAATTTAATAATAAATATATTACATATGTAATTCCTTTATATTTTTATCAATAAAATCAAAATTTTAAAATAAATAATATTTCAAATTATTATGATAAACTCTTCGTACAAGACACAGAAACATTCTCGTTATTTTGAGGTAACGATTATACGATTCGCACAACATAATATTTATAAAATTGTCATTTTTCTAAACGTTAGATTGTTGCGTAGTATTATGAAGTCTGTTACGGAGGGTTGACGTAAGTATCAGGAAATCGTTTCATCACTGTATTAACAAAGAGACTTAATTCCAGTTCATGGATCAAGGGCTTGTTCGTATATTCCAACGTAAAACAAAACCAGCGAAATAGAATTTTGGTCTGTTGTGAATTATTTTTTAGATTTGTTTTCTTCTTCCGGAAATTATTCCTAAATCAACTTCAGATTCATCATTCATGTTATAAGTAAAATGAAGTTCTGTTAAAAATTTCAGATTGAAATGTTATAGATAAGAAAAGGTGGAGATAAAAGACTTTTTTGGTATTATTTTATGATATAAAAAACAATTATTGATACATTCAATAAATACTTTATATTAATAAAATTGATTATTAAAAATATATTATAAGGTTGTGTTAGTAGGAAATCGAGAAAAATGATCGAAAAACGAATGAAAGAAAAATCAAGAAACAATGTGCAATTAGAAAGGACGTGACACACAAAATCGAAAGGTAGTGTCGGAATAGAAGGAATAAAAGTTAAAAGGTTATTGTGGAACAAACCAAGAAATTAGAAGTATATAATGCCAAAGTTAAAATGAACTAAAAGTAATGTAAAGTTCTCGATAAAATTGAAATCGAGGGGAAAGCTAATATACGTGGGTATTGAAACCCTGGGCAAACCGTGAAGAGAAGAATAAATCAAACGCACGTATAGAGAGCGGTTTCGAAACCTTGGAGGAAGTCGAAGATCGTGAGAACGTGGGAAACCGTAGAAGAT